GGGTCATGCTACCTGCTTGAATGGTATTTGTGAACTGAATTAAACAAGATCAGGAATAATACCCATATTCACCACCCAGTATTTCGTGGAATGGTATGAGGAAGATCACTTGTTCAATTCCAGAAAACATGCCCAGCAAGTCAGCATAAATCAGCTCTCAAAAAGCCTTGTCCACCTCACTAGGGCTTGCAAATGCAGCTTGGTAGATATTCGCAGGGATAGTAGAAGGAATTGTTATATCTTAGTGCTGGAAAGTTGATAGATGAGGTGTATAACTATAATTCTGATTTGGGAAATGTGATGATATATATATATATACCCAGCTTCTATTCATTTCAAGAGGAAGTGTGCCAGGTGTCATGCGTCTATGCAATCTTGCCGTCACATGGTGAACCCCACTCGCTTTGAAATCTGCAACAAGCAGTCCGTCCGACTACGAGCCGTCCGAGCACTCGCTTTGAAATCTGCAAAAAGCAGTCCGTCCGACTACGAGCCGTCCGAGCAAGCCCTGCAGCGGAAAAGGCTATCTTTTCTCGGGCGTCATCCTGGATCAACAATCGTTGGGCCAACTTTTTTCAAGAAATTCCACATGCTACACATGCTATCATTGAGCAATTTACATCACTGTACATACTATATGATACCCCATAGGATCCATGTATGCTATATATGGCAACATTTACCAACAATATACCTCAAATGTTAGCATATATATAGTACCATACATGGATCCTATGGGTACTATATGTTCAATCGCGGTGCTCAAAGGTACCGAAATCATACCATCCATGTCCAGGTTTGTTTACCTATGCGAATGGGTGATTTGTTAGATAAATCTAGGCAAAATCTTCCTTAGCATGGTTCAGGAAATCTATGGTTCGGGCTCAAAGGAAAACCATAGAGAAGCATGGTCAAAGTTTTAGGACCAGATGATCACGATTTTTGGGAACTGCCCGTAGCCAAAGAGGATTCAGAAAAATCCCGGGTTGACCGGTTGTTTATGAGTCTTTTCTCAAACATACCCTCTGGTAAACGTTTACATGACTATAGAAAATCACAATTTTCAATGGGTAAATCAACTATAAATGGCCATTTTCAATAGCTATGTTAGTTTACCAGAGGGCAATGGAAGAGATGCAAGCCCACATTGAATCCTTATTCGCGTCTTATGGTTTTGCTTCCTGGTCTTGGTGAGGCCGTGATGTTTTTTCGTTGGTTAAAGCCATGAAATCTTTGGAGATATCTAGCATAAACCCTAGAATGCACCTAATATCCTAATGAACTAAAGCAAATCAATCAAATTAGCTATCATAAATGGGTGCCTCACCTCGGAAAAAATGAGTGAAGGATGTTTTTTTTCGGCTTTTTGCTGTTGGGCTCAAGGGCTAGGATGATTGGGATGGGACAAGACTCAGAGCCCAGGGCGGTACAGAAGCCCTGTATAGAAAAGATTGTTCAGAGGGATCCACGATCCACACATCTATGTGACAGTGTATGATCGTGTATGTATATTTAATTGATTTTTAATTGAAAAAAACAGCTGTTTTTTGTGTTTTAATACATGCTCGAAAAACATATGTATTACTTTCTACATGTAGAAATCAAAAAAAAAAATCGGTAGCACCAGCCAGTCGCTGAACGAAACCTTCTCGTCATGGCGCGAGATGAAGGTGGGTGAAATCCATGCCAATCTGATACCCTCCGGTTATGTCAAAATATCTATTGAAAATGACCATTTATAATGGATTTACCCATTGAAAATGGTGATTTTCCATAGTTATGTTAAATTACCAGATGGTAATCTGATAATCTGTTGGTGGTTTCTATTGGATTCCAGGCCGAAATGGCGTAACTTCTTTGCACATCACCGCGGAGTATGGTGAACAGATGTGAACAGCTTTGAAACCGCTGGGCCATCATGGGAAATGGATGGAAATAGCCCATTCTTTGGATCCCAGCACTGGTTGATTTGGATGATACCCCATGTGGATTCCAGGTTTAAGGAGTGAAAAAAGAGTCCAAATAACTCAGATGTTCCAAATGGCTTCAACCAGTAGAAACTTCGTTTGGTTGCTCCGCTCCGTCCTAGGTTAGCTGAAAAATTGGTGACTCTCCCTCTGATTTCGTCAACCTCATGAATACTACAGTTATATTCCCCATAGGACCATCAGTTCACCAAGTTAGCTAAGTGTCAACTTAGCTATCGCAGGGCTTGGGATTGATGTCCTCTTTGGAAAATGTTGAACATCACATCTGACATCTGTAATGTCAACCCTGGATTAATAAACCCCAAACGATTGTTTAATTGGGAGGGTACCATAAAAAAGTATCATATGAAATGACTATTGGAAGGGTACCCTCCTAATTAATAAACCAGGGTTTATTAATCCGGGGTTGACATTAGTATTTCTTGGAGATTATATCCCCTTGTTAGTCGGGTGATGTGAAAATTAGGACCTGGTCCGGACAGGTACCGACCCCTGCGAAACATCATATCCCCATGAAAATATGTTCCCAATTACTGTATGATTTCTATGAAACATAGAAGCATATAAGATATCATGTAAGAACCATATGAGAACCAGATTTGATAGATATATGTTTTTTTCTTATAAACATTATATATATGTATATACCACAAACATGTATATTATAGAAGCCATATAAACCATATGTAATATCCCCGATATCCATCACATATGGTTCTTATATGGTTTTTGTTTATATGATAACTTGTATAAGACAATGATATGGCAACATGTGTGAACTATATATGATATGTTAATATAACTAAAAAAATGTTTATGTAAACCATATGGTTTATTATTCGTTCATGAACTTATATGCTAACTTAAACAATGCAAATATAAGTCAATGAAACTTACAACCATGTTACATACTTGACTTAGAAAATATCATTATTATGTAAATTATTGTGATAGTTGGTATAAACAATATCCTTATTATCGTTACTATAAACATTATATAACATATTACATGGGAATTACATGGAATCATTCATCGCCCAGACAAGTTGCCCATCGACCTGGCGGTGGAGCTGGAACGTGCTCGCAGGCGTTGTTCGGACGGGGTTTGGAGACCGGGACGTTTGTTGCATTTTCCTTGGGAAACGAAGCTTGAAAACGAAAATCTTGACAGGGTTTGGAGAGGATTGCAGAGAGTACAGGTCACGCTCCAAACAGGCAGTGTTGGTGACGACATCATGCTGACACTCGGGTGAAAGCGCTTAGGAAGAAGCGCTTTCAAGAGCATGTTCAACTCAACATGGATGAGGCGTCGACTATGTTTATAATATGTGTATAGTATTATAGTAATAGGTAATATGTAATAATACAACATTGTATCATGTTTTCAAGAGATTTGATGTTGAATGAGTTTGATATGTTTATTTGTTTTTAGTGTTTTATAGAAGTAAGACTACATTATCTCCTGTCCTACTCTTTCTAGGAGTCTCCTATGTTTATACTAATCCCCCCAAAAAAAGATAGAAACTACAGATAGAAAAGCTTCATGTTATATCAAGTTGATTCAAGTTGTATGCTTCGGAGCTATGGCCATGGTATTTGTATTCCCTCAAGTGGGCGTCGTGCACAACCAGATGATAGATATGTCTATGGTAACCGGTCCCCAAAATGATCAAAAGCTTGAATTTACCACGATATTTTAGTGGCATGTTGATTTTCTATCTATATAAATTTGGGGCTTACGCTTACTATATGCATTTTGTTTCAGTGTTTGTTTTCTTATTTGGGGATTTGATGGGGATAGGTGTCTTCTCAACCAGATTTTGAAATAGGAACGGGTCAAAAACATACGATTCGTCATGTTTGTGGGGATGTTCATCCAATTTCATACCCAGCGGCAATCATTTTGAGGTGAACAGAAGGGTTTTTCAAACGGCTTTTGATACCAAGATACGGATGTTGGGCATTTGATGAAGGGCTTTGGTTGACAATAACGAGGTAACTAACTGATCAGCAAAAACGAAGAATTTGGGCGGGGTAAACCAACAATACTAGGCACCATATTTGCCAGGCGTATAGTTGTGAGACTCTGCTCTTGGGTTCACCTGGTACTTGATGGGTATAATGTTATCTCTGAGGCACAGCTGAGGCAAACTAATCTAGAGATGGAAAATTTCCATGTTTAGTTTCACTTTCAGAGTTGCTTTGCGTTTTTCAGATGTTAACATATATATATATAGTTGGTTGATAGATGTACATTAATTGCAAGTACTTGATTGCATCTAGACACAAAAGAAAAAACAAAAAACATAAGATGTACTGTAACTATGTATAACTATGTAATACGTGTTTTGTTCCATAACTATGTAATAGGTATTTTTTTTCCATATGAAGGTTTCCATAGTCATAGGGGATCCCCTTTTTTGCCGGTTTATTTCATCAATGGCCACTTCAGGAACCGATTCATTGGAGGTGCCTACCATATATAAGACCTATTTTTCGCTAAATTTCAGGGGATATAACTGATATAACCCGCAAAATAGGCTCAGAAATATGGTACTCCCCCCTGGTAATTTGTTACAGTTCGCTATTGAAAATAACCATTTAGAAAGTTCTAGTCGATTTTCCCAGCTATAAACTGGTGATTTTCCAGTTTTTCCCATTAAAACTGGTGATTTTCCATCGTTTTTTGTTAACGTTTACCAGGCCGGTGTTCACGCAGCTTACCAGACCTGATCTCCGGGTCACGATCTCCCGATTTCGATGGGATTTGTGCCGCCAGTGGCCCGCCAGGCTGGGAGATCGTTTCGACGGTGGGGAGGATGGCAGCGGTGAACTTGCAACTTGGAGGACTTTTTTTTGTGCAGCCCAGTGGTTTAGAACCCATAATTATAAATATATTCAGTATATAGACTTATATATAGACATATATGTATATTTGTATATATATATATATATGTATCCCAAAGGCTCATGTCGGAGATGGAACCCTCAAAACCATCCGGGCCCTAGGGGATAACACGTTGAGGGACCTTGAGGGACCTTGAGGGACTACGGTGTTTTGGGACCTTCAAAACCATGAAACATTTAGGGATGTTGGTTAGTCGCAGCCACTTTTTTTCAACCGTGGCTGCGCAGTGCTGCGCACCATGTGCACACATGCCCGGGCTCCAAGGACAACAGGGTGTCAATCCAGTTTGGCCAACTCAAGGTTCACAAGAGCCAGATAACGTTCCAGCGTACGTAGGGACACATTCCCCTTGTGAGTGGCTCGGGCGATCTTGCCCACTCTGCACACAATGTCTTCAGCTGCCAAAAGTTGGCTGATACGCGGATTGATCCGCTCGATCCTCACCGTTTTGCAATGATGATAGTAGTGGTGATGTTTGCAAATCATCAGCCACAAAGTGCGGTTGGCCTGTTTTCCCCGGGCCATCCGGCTTTTGCTGTTCAAGGCTGCATAGGTCTGCAAATGTCGAATCACATCCTGGTAGTAGCTTTCCGCTTGCTCTTCACTCAGAACCAATCCTGAGGTATCCATGTTTTTCAAAGAACTTGCGTAGGAATGAAGGCAGGTTGCAACCAAACGATCCAATTCTGTAGCTTCTGGTCGGGCAGCATGTTCAACACAGCAATGAGCAACCCAGAAAGTCACCACCTTGCTAGGGATACCCTTTGAACTCAAAACCGGGTATTGCATCCTTGTTTTCCTTCCCAATCTCGCCGGTGTGAACCGTGGTTGAGACGCTTGCAGTCCATGTTGTTTCTTCCAACGCAAGAAATGTAGATGCGCCTGTCGCAACACCAATGCCAAAGAATCACTGTAGAGGCCTCGTGGGAAAGCTCCCCAGTACCCCACCTCAGCCAGATAAACGATGGCACTGGCATTGGCAGTCTTCCCGGTGCCGAGAAGTTGTGAATGCAAGCAGTCATGCAACACTCTGTCCAAAGGGATGCCGAGTGAGAACACAATCGAACCTCTTTCATGAAATTCGCTCAAATCTGGCAGGCTTGAAGCATGATCGGCATTTTCACGAAAATCTCCAAGCGTCATGCTCAGATTCCCATCGTTGGCCTTCTTCTTGACACCACACAATGAGCAGCACAAATTTGATCTGTAGTTGTGCAGCCCGTAATGCTCAACAATAAACTTAAGGTCTCCTTGAAGAGACGACAGCATGAAGGCGTAGCCGCCATCTGACCAGTCAAAAAGCATTGTGGGGTCCACCATGTCTCGCGTCCTGGCAACCACATGACCCATAATGTCATCATAAGTGAACTCAGTGGCTGCATACTCAGGATACACGGCGATGGGGAAATATCTTGTCAGTGAAGGATTCTGATATCCCAAGTCGCTGCACCACCCAAGCACTGTCACTGACCCTGTCTCTGAACCCTTGTAAGCAGCGATGTCATCACCGTAGAAACTCATTGGGATCAGCTTCCTGAGCAAAGGGTAATTGTGATATTGGCTTCCTTTGAACCAATCACACGTTTCCTTGCAATGACTCCAAAAAGATTCAACTTCTTCCGGACTATGGTTGCCGAACATAGTGTGATGCCAAACTGACGAACCTTTGGCAAACAAAGCCTTTGCCATGTCATCCGGGAAAATCACAGAAATTGGCTGCCATTCGATTGATGCCGATGTATGAGAATACAACCGGGCTTGAACAGTATTGATCTTCACACCCAGTCGTCTTGCGAGTGACCGTAGAAGAAAATGAAAATCACGCTCACAATTCTTGGCATGCTTGCCGCTGGATCCAAGTGAGGATATCCGGTTCACTAGATCATCTTTCTCCACCACGCCACCCTTCTGTTCACACCATTGGACAGCTGAAGATGCCAAATGTTGGACCTGAGTCATGCAACCAGTTTTCGAGAGAAAAAAAACAATGTAACTCCACCCTGGCCCCAATGAGCACTAACAGGAATGGTCCCTCGTATGCTGGAACGGATAGAAATGGGTAAAACCTTGAAACATACCTTGATATTAAAAGAAGTTTGTCCAAATCAAACGGTGGAAATTGGTAAGCCGACAGGTTCTTGCTGGCATAGTGTGGATGAAATCAACATATTTAAGTTTCCTCCCCAAAAAAATGTATATGGGAATCGTCTTGCTGAATGATGAGTTCAAATTCGAGTTGGCTTGGGTTTGTATTTTGTCAGATGGGACGTTCGAAAGTGTCATATACCACAAACTGGTTGATCTCGAAAAAACACTTTTGGGGTATCCTAGTTCAAGTAACCCATTGGCATCTACTTTCGGATTTAATTCAAATTCCAAGTCCCGGGGGTACACTAGATAGATAATGTCAACCCTAGGCCCTATAGGATTAATAAACTCCCAATTCTCAATATAATATTGGATGGTACCCCACATAAATAAACATATAGTTTATTGATCTGACTTGTGAGGTCCAAATCCTTTACATGTAGATTGCAAAACCAAGAAACCCTGGTTGCGCTAGATTTGCCTGATGCAAAATCTCCAATCAGTAAATTCTGAAGTTCCTCCGGCTGTTTGGGACGGGTGCCCCTTTCCTTCGCCGCCAAAATATGGGGCGGCTCGTAAGGGGTTAATCGAGGCTGCTTCCATGGCCGCCCCTGCGACGTCGATGGATGCAAGGCTGCGGAAGAGAACCTGGTTTGAAAATGGTGGGTATTGGAATTAATTAATCACGATGTTTTTTCGCATTAGTTGGTTGATTAATAGAGGGGTTGGTTTACCCCTTTAACAACAGGTAAATGATGATAGATGGTATACCAAACTGGCCCCTCTATATATCCTATAGGATCCATGTATGGTATTTTATGCTAACATTTGGGATATATTGATGGTAAATGTTACCATATATAGCATACATGGATCCTATGGGTATGAACATTATATTGCAAATGCCGTTCCTAGTTTAAACTTACATTTCCAGTGGAGGCTGCTGAGTCCTTGTCACCATCTTTACTTGAAGCCGCAGCAAGTTCACGTCTGCGAAACAATCCTGGAGGTTGCAATCTGACGGAAACATATTCTTTGGGAATATCGAAATGCATTTTCTTTGCATGAGTCATGTAAACGCTCAGGGTTGCAAAATCACAGATTGTCGCAATGCAGAGATTTCGTTTTGATCTCGGAAATTGACGAATCTCACTCCATGTCTCCATGTCTTGTCAGCCAGCAATGATTTGCTAGCACACCCATTGCCAAACTAGCTTGTTTTCAAGCTATGGCGTACACCCCATGAAATTAGATTAGGCGACAAGTTTTGAAAAGAAAACTGGCCACATCGCTAACCATCTAGCGGAACTGAGCCATCATCTAAATATGACGGCCAAGAAAGTCACTTCACTTCTCCGCTCGGGAGGTCTTCGCAGTCTTGTCCTGGCCAAACTGCTGGAGACCCAGCTGGCAGAGGATGGAAAGTGGAGGTTGTGTGGATCATGATGAGTCCCATGGTACCATCATTGGAATTCCTCAACTATATAGTGAACCATTATTTAGAATTTAGCTACGGCTACTTTCCCAAGAATCCCCTGGTTTATGGAATCACCTGGTTTGGGATAGGGGGTTGCCGACCACCAATCTATGAACTTCGGACCCTTGAGTCTAGATCATTTTTTGGGCAAATTTGGCAACCAGTTGGATCATAATTATATTCAGGGTAGGGCCTAAAGAAATGCATTTATGACACTTCCCCCAAATTAGATTGTTGGATTGCATCCGTATGGTTAAAACTTGGGCCCACAATAGTGTTGAAACATTGGGGTTGTTTGTATGTAATGTTTTACATGGGTCCTTCGACGACACCTTGGTGGATGCTTTGACCAAAGTGTTGGCCTCAACCGCATCTTCCTCATAAAGGGTCATTCTCTGAATTGCAAGCTCACAAGCAGCCTGCAATGCCCCCACATCAGCCGGGTCAATCTCCTGGCACAGAGTTTAGATGGGTTTAGGAGTGGTCACCCCCATATTGCCGTTATTTTATTTTGTATATCTTGTTTATATATAGGGTTAAAACATATTGTATAATTTCTTATATATATATATATATTACAAATCCATCAGATTGAATGCATAGCAATTCTACAATGAAAACTTCAACAACACTGGTTCATCCCAAATGGAACAGATTCATGTAACCATTCCGTAATGAAATCCGAAATTGAACATTTCAATATAACCAGACCAATGAAATCTCAAAGGGATCAGGTCATTAGTTTCCACAAGGCCAAAAAGGTGTCATGGAATTCCTTGTTCGCGGTCTGGCGCGCAAGCTGGTGAAAGCTGCGTTCCAGCTCATCTGCATGGCCCTGGAAACTCTTACCTCGTTAGGCCAGGATGTGAATGTAGTGTGGCATATGGTTCGTATTTTTTTGAGGGCCCCAAGTGATTTGCCTACATGTCCCATCAAAGTCAACCAACCAGTGTTTGGCATAAACTGTGTCCCCGAAGGCCCATGGCTGAAATACTGACACGGGGAACCCAAAATAGATGTGTAATGAAGAACTCTTTATCTTGTACGATTTGGCCCAAATGGGAAAATCATGGGTCAAGTTGCACAAGGATTCCTGGTGCTTCAAATGCGCCAAGCGCACTGGCCACATGCGAGCTGATTGAAGATCAGCACTTAACCGGTTGAGTATCCAAAGAGCCTTTGGACGTGGCTCCTCGGGCATCTCATTCCTCAGTTACAAAATGATGAAAACACATGGGCCACATGGATGTTCTTATTGAATAAAACATGCAACGTACAGAATAGATCCATTGGTCATCTTTGGGATTATCCCCTCTTTTAGCACTGGATGGGTAGTACAAGTGGGATTATATATTAGATACCAGGGGATACAAACATATTGCTGATCTTATATTCAAACCATTTACTGACTTCGGGATCATCCCAGCACCATCCTACGTTTGAGATCCAAATCCTGAATATCAATCATGAATATAACATATATACTCAATAGGGAATGCAATAGTCAATAGGGAATTGTGGCACCGTTTTTTGATTGACATTGTTCATACAATTTGGGCCATTGTTGCAATGGAATTTGGGGTTCAAGATAAAGAAACTGGAGATACCCACTGACCATGCTTATCGATCCAATCACCTCATTCTCCAGGGTTAGTACATCAATATTGTGATTTTGTAATGACGTTAAGAATCTTCTTCCGGGTAGATGTTTCACCACCGGGTCTGGCTTTGGCCTTCGGGGCCTTCTTGGGTGCTGCTGCCTTTGCCTCAGGTGCTGCCGGCGCTCCTGGTGGAACAGCAGGGAGTCCAGCAGCCGAAGATGCCGGGGCACCAAGAGCCGGAGCGCTCTCTTGCTTGGCAAACTGGAGACGGAGGGGCTCGTTCGTCATGCCAGCCCCAAACGAAGTCAACGCATCTGAAGTCGCAAAGCGTTCGGCCTAGCGAGGGCCAAACTATTTGTTTATGCTTACCCAAAATGGTGCATATGATTGTCAATATGTTTTGCAAACCGTTTTTGGGATACTGCCATGCTATAGCATGACAGTATCCCAAAACGACTCCTCCTGAAACACAGCTACTTACCAACCAGGGGTCACTATATAGAACATTTGTTTTTTTTCTAAATGGGGATACTCGTATTATATAACCATAGCATGGTGTTCAGCAAGGTTGGCCGAACTATTTTCCACAATGGGGTCAATAAAGTGAGGCGCCTGCTCTCCATGGGTTTCCCCACCAACTTCCATAGATACCCGATCTTCGTGTTCATCTTCGGCAACTGACTCCAAGTCAACCAAGACGTAAAACATCATAGCATTGATGTCACCTGGCGCGTCTGGGTGTTCTTTGAACTCCTGGTTCCGGGTTTTTTGATCGATGATTTTCTCCACGATCGATGCATCGCCATGCATAGCAAGCAACTGTGCCCTCGTTTTCCATCCTAGGCAAAACAGTATATGTGCCCCAAACATGAGATTTGTCAAACTCCTATGATTCAGGAATATCCCCATTGCGTTGTGATGCCATATGCATACGGCACTAACATTCCTACAATCTTAAGGTGTGTCATGTTTTCCCACCACCTGAGGTTGAGTCCATACTTTGTGCGTCCAATGCTGCGATCTGTGCGGGTCCTTGAGCATTTCAGGGACAGCCTCGGTGTCAATGTGGGCTGCAACTAAGGCATTTAATGTTTATCTTGATTTTGCGTTATAGGTCAATTAGAAATGATGGTATTCATTTTCTGATGACTGTCACCTAAACCATTTCCCATCTTGGTTCAACCAAGTAACTTAGACCAGTCCTTTCCTGCCCGGAGAAAGGCTAGAAAAACAGCATTTTTTCCCGCACGGGAGCGGGTCTTGATTGCCTGGTGCCATGACTCCACGATCTCATTGGGTATGTCGAAGCTATCGCTCGCCTCCAATTGCCTGATGTTCCAAGCAATACCCAAACAAGGAACCGTATAGAAGGCGAATGCGATCAAATATGTGTGTTCAAAATTTATGTACGGCATTCATGCCTTACGACATGGGGATAGGGCTATCCAAAAAAAATGACCAGGCCTTTTCATTTGAGCGTAGTGGGCTTGACGTTCCTTGTAACTTCCAAAGGTTACCTCCACACTTTCCTCAGAAGCAATGGGACACATATAATATGTTTTTATGTCTGAATGGGTGATCTCCAAACATTGGTTGAAATTTTCCGTGCATGTTGGAATATACATATTTGGAATTTGGAATACTTATATTTTGAACTTGATCAAAAACATTGCCACTGAGAAACAGGGGCATGGACTTGAATCTGACCCGCGAGCGTTCCAGCTGGTACCATGGAAGTTGTGTGAACTGTGCTGGTGGAGGCAGGTGTTGCTGGAGGTGCAGGGGTAGGCAGTGAAGGTGGTGATTTGGTGGCAGGTGCTGTCGGTGTGGGAGTTGGTGGTGTTGGTGGAGCTGCTGGTGCGAGTGCTGCTGCTGGCGCTGTAGGTGGTGTCAACGCTGCTGCTGCGGTAGCCCCCAAACTCTGCGGCGGTGTCGGTGGGCTGGTTGCCTCTGGGACAGGTGGGGACACCGGGGGAGGTGAATGCATTGCTGGAGGCTTCAAAGGAGCAGAGTATACTGTGACTTCCTCTGCAAAAGACACACGCTTGGGATTGGGCATTGGGGCTGCTTTGGGATCTGCCACTGCAAGTGCTGCGGTAGCTGCTCTGGGATCTGCCACGGCAAGTGCTGCGGTTTCCCTGGGATTGGGATCAGGCAAAGCTGTGTCAGGGCTGGGCTTCAAGGCCTCATTTTCTGACCATAGCATAAAAGACACCAGCTCCTCATCTTCATCAGAAGTTCCAAACTCAGGAAGTTCTTCATCATCCTCTAGGGCGAAAATCTCCTTACGGAGATATTGTTCAAACTGGGCAAAGACAGGGTCGTTCTTGATCTTATCGATCTTCTGTTTGACCTCAAGGTCGTCCATTTTTTGGACCCAGTTTCGAATTCGTTCTTCCCTCTGAGCTTCATCCTCTACCTCTTTCTCCTGTGCTGGGCTGGTCACTGGAGGTGCAGGCATGGCAGCCTTTGCCAGGGGCTCGGGACGGGCAGTGGCAGGGCTCGGGGCAACAGGTGTGTGAGGTGTCGGGGGCGTCGCTTTTGTCTCATGTCTACACAAAGAGGCAACTTTGGGCTGTGCAGGAGTTTCGGCTGAAATCACCGTGCTGGGCGCTTTGGGAGGCACAGTAGATTCTTCAGCCAACTCCACCTTTGTGGTTGGTCGGGGTTTTTGTCTTCTCAACGCTGCTGCTGCATTCTGTGTTGGCTTGACTTCCATCTTCACACCAGTTTTTGGGATTGCTGCAGGAGTCGCCACATAGGCTCGCTGAACTGCTGCTGCTGCTGCTGGTTTTGGTGGTGGCGGTGCCACTGCTACAGCTGGAGGCATGGGCGGGGTAAGGCATCCTGGAGCCTTGGTTTGAGGTGTGGCTGGAGGTCTCCCCATGACCGCACCCTTCACTGCGCATGCTTTGCTGTGGATTACCTCGGTCTTGGCTTTCTTCATGACAGGTGGCACCATTGGCACCATGCTAGGTGGCATTGGCGGGGCTGCTGTGCTTTTTGCTTTTTTGTTGGCTGTGGGCATCACGGGCTGGGTGTCTGCACAAGCTTTTGGCGGGACAGGGTGGGCGACAGGGTGGGCGACAGGGCTTGCTTTCTTGGCAGGGCTAGGTGAAGCAGCAGGGGATGCAGTGCTGGGAGTTGGCTCGGCACTGATGGGGGACACCGACCTAGGCAAAAGTAACATGAGAGTGTGTGTTTGATTTATTTTGGACAATGTTATACACAAATAAGGTCAATAGTCAATAAGTATTGTATATGATGACAAGACGCTCGGTCAGCTTCATCCCAGGGTCATCATGGGGCGAGAAGTCCAAGTTTTTCGGCCACATAATATCTGACACCTGCACCCCAAATAAAAACAATAGGCTATCAAGACGGGGTTGTGGCTCAGGTTCAAAACATTTCTGGTATCGAAGAATGGAAAAGCCATGCCTGGGACTCAGAACATGGGACCGTTGTCGCCTGGGAATCTTCCTGCAGGCTATTCAACAATTTGTGTCATATATGTAGCACCACTTAATTCCCTTAATATAAGGAACAGATACTGTTATAACCCATATAACACAAATAATTTGATGGGTTGGCCATGAGCTCCAACAGTCCTCCACTGGGCTGAAAGCCGGTGATGCCATCGAACGGGTGGGCGGTGGCGTTCTGAACGCCTCGCCGGAGTAGCCATAAAATTATTTTTCATTTGGTGGCAACATTTTTGCAAACCATTTGTATAATTAAACCTGCCTCATTCGCCCCAGGGTACTTGTCAAAGAAGGCTTTCTTTGTTGCCATACCGCACGGGCTAAATCTAACCCCGGATACGTCCTGGGAACAACATGAACAACCACCCCGAATCCAAAAAATATTTTGAAATGGGAAACCAAATGGAACACACTGACAGTTGTGAATGTGCATCCTGTCCTCCATCCTTGTATCCACAGGCTTCACCATGGTGAACCCCCCCAGAGAGTCGAGCAAAGTGATGCGGCTAGGGACTGAGGGATTAGGTCACCATGGCATATGTTTATCCCCAAATGTTAGCTGACGTTATCTGACGGTGGATTTTGGTATGTTTTTATCAACAAAAATTATCTGACGCTGTCTGACGGCGGATAAAATATTTTTTTTACCAAAAAGCTATCCGACGCTATCCGACGCTATCTGACGGTGGGTCCCTCGTGAATGAATTCGTTTGAGGGCCCGCGAGGGACCAAACCGACGCTATCTGACGCTATCTGACGCGCCCTCCCCGATCCCAAAATATTAATCGATATCCGACGCTATCCCACACGCCCCCCACCCCCAACCCCAAAATATAAATCGCGATATCCGACGCTATCCCACGCGCACCCCACCCCCAAAAAGCATCTAGATCGCGGAAACAAAAGATATTTTTTCAATCATGCGACCTTTCTTGAAAACGGTTGAACATTGTATCCGCCAGATAGCGTCAGATAGTGACCAACATTATCTGATGTTCTCGAAGTGCCCCAATCAAACATGTCATTTGAGAATCACCTGCCAGGTAAATTGCCTCAAGATGGGCTCCTGGTTCACGAACAAGGCTTGGATACCATTGTTGGTTTATGCCTGATTATCATGGGGTGACTGCTTCATTTGTAAAGTTCCCGAAACAACTTGACATGTAACCCATTTATAAAGTGCCATACTTGAAATGTATTGAGTATCTGTCCCCAAACAATATTTGGCATTTAGAGATCCACGGTATTGGGCTGTTGTTGCATTTTATTTGATCCACATCCCCACAGCATATGCTCGTTATACAATTTTTTCTCCACTTGCACCAAGTGCACACAGCCAGCTTCCCACATTTAGAAATATGGGGTAAGGCACCTGTAATTAGGTATGGTACCATGTGTAATTTCACGGCGACGGGATTGCACATCGTCGGTTCTTTAAAGTATCTTCCAACCAGCACAGCACTGGCTCCATGTTGGCATCGGCCCAAACATCCTGTGAGTGGTCCACCAATGCAAGTGTAACTGGTCGGGGAGCCACGGTGGTGTTATGTAGAGGAGACCAGGCATCACGGACCTCGGTATATCATGAGTTTGCAGGCGATGAAGCCATTTTTCATATCGTATACCATATCGATGGAAAACATAATGTAACTATATGAACGCAGGGAAAGTAAGGACGCCCACTGAGTAAGATAATGTTCCAAACTTGAAACTTCAGTTTATTTTTTTGCAAGGGAGCCCATAGGGTAAGACCACATATTATGATGTATCATCATAATTGATGATTGATTTTACCCATATTAGTGGATTATGGTCGAATGTGCTTATCCCTTGATTTATGGATATTCCTCGTATAGAATGGATGGTCATCATGGGTTTCCACAATGATACAGCATTTGATCCACTTATGGCCACCTTGTAGTGAGAACCCAAGAACCCACAAAACGATCTCACCCAGTTAGGACACCTAGGACAATAATATAAATGGTCTTTCTCGAAATGGGTACGTTCTTCGAAGTTAAACTCATTTTAGTTATTTTTAAGTATATATCGATCATTTTGAGAAAGACCCATGTATGTTCTATAATTGGATTATTCCAACCATCATCTTCAACAATGTTGGAGAAACAAGCATGTTTTGTTTTGGTGACTTCAGGGGGTCCCAAAGACGTAGGCTGAGTTACAGCTCGTGCAAAGCGAATGGGGTAGACCTGGGATTTTTTCAACTTGGCCAACCCCTTGAAGCGGCGGCGTCCAGCCCGGTCATAGTAATGGCTCACTAGGCCATTCCGCCTGCGATACCTTCGGCGTCGGAGTCTCCTGCGGCAGCCCCAGTCAAAGAACCAGGCCTGGGGTAAAAAAAACAATATGTCACATGTCGATATTTCCCCAATGGTCATTGACGTACACCCATGCAATGGATTCTACAATTGAAAGCAGTCCTTTGCAGCCCATGAATAAAATTGGAATTACTCCAGAGACGAATTGGCTTGGGTGTAGCCGTTCGGGAAGATCCAAATTCACCCAGCCAAGTAAAGCTGTCGAAGATGTTCAGGTGTCCAAAGAGGGTAGCCAGTCGGGGATGCCATGGTAACTCAGCACCAACAAGGTACAAACCACCACAGGTAATTGAGTAATTGAATTCGATCCATCATATTTGATTTTTGTACACAGCTAGCTCGGCAATGTATTAAGATTCCAACCAAAGAAGTCATTGGATTTTCGATCATAAAGAAAGCGCCCTGGTGGATGACGGCATAGATCAACAGCGCGCACTTAGTTGCAAGTCAAACATGAAATCATTGAGCACTGCTCAACTCAAGTCGTGAACTTTTTCCACCCAAAGGTTAAGGCAATTCAATAGACATAATGAAAACCATAGGTTTCTGACAGGATCTTCCCTAAATAGTGATTGTGTGGCATTGTTTATATGAGCCATGGCTCCCATTGACTCACATTATTGCCCAATGCAAGGTTCTATGGCGTGAGCCCCCCGAACAGTTTCAAACCAAGCATCTCTGCTCACCAAGGTGTTGGCAAGTCCAGTGGCCTTCGAATTCCTTGGCCGGGTGGCTCTGGCTTTGACTTCGGAGCAGGTTCAACATGCTACAGGGTCAATCTTGGAGAAGCCAACATCACTTAGTTTGATCCCCTAAATTGACACTCAACGTGTCAACGTGTAAGACATTTGTTGCAATTAAGGGTCGTTCCGAGAGGTTCTTCACGTGACCTACGGCTTGTTCCACCTTAGCAACAGGGGGGAAGATGATACATGGGCCTGGGTAAATTGTTGGTATGGTTGCACAAGAAAGGCTTTCACCTCAAGGACATCTTTCCTTGTTCCACATGGATGTAGCAATGCTTTGGATGAAAACAATTACATATATATATGGGTTTCCTGAAATGAGGGTACCCCAAAATGATTGGTTTAGCTTATGAAAATGGATGATTTGTGGATACCACTATTTTAGGAAATCTCTAAATGGGCGAAGGTGATAGGTTGAAAGTCAATTTATCATAAGCGACAATTCTTATTCGGATTGGCACCATGCAAAAACATTAAACCCAGCTCGATGCAATCAAAGGTACGGTTTATTGTCACCCATGTAGAACAAGGAATGCCAAATGTCACAAGTCCAGTGGCACATACTTGCATGATAGCAAGTAGATGTCGACAAAAGCCTCCAGGACTGAGAATATCCTTGGGCCACAAAGGTGGTTTTCTTTGTTTGTTCTTTCGATCAAACAGACGTACACATAGGATCAAATCAAATAGGTTCAAATTGCGAGTTATATGCAAAACTTGTTTCCATGACTAAGTTAGACAAAGAACATCGGCTTCATCCCGTTCGAAGTCCAATGTGCAAACACCATGCCCATGCTCAGCAAATGCTTTGCTGAGATTGGCTTTCCCAGCAAAAACATCCACCAGTGCGTACTTGCCAGGTGTGTGCACAAATCCCTACAGGGAATACCCGAACAATATCATACCAACCCCAGATTAACAAACCCGATATAAAGATTTTTCAAAACAGTTCAAACCATGATTTATAAAAGATGTTGGTTCCAAAATACACCTAGCTTCAAACTAGATGGCTCGTGACCCCCCGAAATAGATACAAACATGATGGGTCATGAAAACAGTTTGGGGCTTTATTTTCAAGGACAGGAATCTTTAAAGGATGAAAATCCTTGATCGAGTTGATTTAAATTATATAACACCCACTGCCTGAGCAAGGAGGCTCATGACACACCAAAGGCGAAATGGCACTCCTGTCACATGCACAGGTCCACGAGGGATTCGACGGGGAATGACCACTGGGGCTCGATCTTCATCTTCACCATCCATAAGATGCCTTAGTGATATTGCAATGTTCGGATAACTGGATTTTTATACCTTAGTGATATGGCAATGTTTGGATCATTGGATTTTTAAGCATATAAGATACCTTAGTGATATGGCAATGTTTGGATAACTTGGTTTTTAATTATGATATGGTAATGTTCGGATAGCTGAATTTTCAAAGATGATATGGCAATGTTTGGATAACTGGATTTTTAACCACCCATTAAATACATGGTGATATGGCAATGTTCGGACGATTGAATTTTAAGCATATAAGATACCTTAGTAATATGGCAATGTTTGGATAACTTGATTTTTAATTGTGATATGGCAATGTTCGGATAGCTGAATTTTTAAAGATGATATGGCAATATTTGGATAATTTTAACCACCGATTGATTTTTTTTAGCATATAATAAGATACCTTAGTGATATGGCAATGTTTGGATCATTGGATTTTTAACATGACTCTTGGTTTTCACCAAGTTGCCTCCTCTTTGCCGGTGGCATTGGTAGACTGGAGAACGCCACAACACCACAACGCCGAACCACACACGGCTGAGGCTGGACACAACCACAGCTACAAGTGGACTACATCTTCCAGGCACCGCAGCCACCAACTGATCAGGATTGATGGCAGTAGACTCAAACTAATCCCTTTCCCTATCTATTAAACACCCCCCAAGAAACAATGGTTTTGGTACAGTACAGGCGATTTACAAATTATTTACATATATTTCGGTCCCATATCTACAGGGGGTGTTCAATATTAGGGTGATGGGAACAATGAACAACTAGCTACTCTGCCTTCGTTTTTGGAATCACAGCATGCTCCCAATGCGACTCCTGCCAAGCTCGCCCTTCGCGAGCGCAAGTTTCGATAATTGAAGTAGGCATCGCGACCACAAGTGTCTCACCGGGCCAGCACAAACAGCTACTAGATACTCATGTTTGTCATGACCTACCAAAATGAAAGGATGACTAGTGTTGATTTCTACACGTGGTAGCGGTTTTAAAAAAGCACGAGCCCACAAATGAGACACAATGGTAAGTCCTCAATGCTTGGAATCTAAACTAAACACCGCTGTCCGCACTCTTTGTGCTGCTTCTGGGTGCTGAGCGAAAACTGCCGCAAAGCCCATTGACAGCCCCGTGAATCTTAAAATAGTCAACAGCTGCAGCACCTTGCTTTCGGGCAAGTGCTTTGTCCCCAGGGCACAGTGACAGGGACTTCCGATACGCGCTCGAGTACACGTGGTTGTGCGTGATGTGGGAGGGCGGGATCCTGTCTTTGTTGTCATCAGGCAAGGTTTTTCGAGTCCTAGGTTTCTTGCAGGCTGCCTTGGGCTCCATGACATCATCCGGTGCAGGGAAAGGATCAGCAGGAACGACTGCTGAGTGTCCTGCGGATCCACTTGCAGCTCTGGCCTTGTTGGCCGCTTTGGGTTTGGGTGATGGCTTGGCTTTTGGCTTGGCTGCTGCCTTGGCTCTTACACTTTGCTTTGCAGTCCTGGACCTGGTAGACTTTGCTGCCTTTGTGGCTTTGCTCTTTGGTGCACGATTGGCTCTGCCTTTCGTTTTGGGTGCTGCTTTGGCCTTTGCTTTACGACCCCGTGTCTTACCAGCATGTTCCCCCTGCTTTGAAAACTCTGGCGGATCCATGTCCTTCACCTGATTCTGAAGCTCGGTCATGTAGTCAGGTGCATCAGCTAGAGGATATTTTCCCGGATCCTGCATGCCAGGTATCCAACATCAGTGAAAAAGTGAACCGCGTGATAGATGGTGGGGACGCCAAGCTATTTGGATCGGAAACAGGTGTGAAGGTGATTACAATGGAATAATCAAACCAATCAAATCATCACGACACCCCTGTCAAAAAACGCCTTTGACCTTTGTCTAATGTATAGCCCATTATTTCATAATTCATCCCATGTAGAGTCCTTGAAGTCAGAACTGCAAGGCTCTGGCCCAGCAAGGGGTGGACCAGATCCTTCCTGCCAGGGTCATGGATGTCCATGGAGCTGGATGCTATGCTTTATATATTTCATTCTATTTGGGACTTACTAAATTCAACGATTATTATGTTTTATGTTTACATCTCAGAGGTATAGCAAACATATCACACCATAGCGTTCAGTCCTTGAAGTCAGAGGCGCAAAGCTCTTGTCCCGCCAGGAGTGGAGGATCTGTGTCCTTCGCTAGCATCACAGAGTGTTGCAAACGGTTGATTGTTTTTATACTGATCATGTACTTGACATTCTCCATGGAGTTCTCTTTGTTAGTCACCAAAGTGAACACCAATTATGACAACTGCACATGGTGAGAAAATAAGGCATATCAAACTCTCCAAATGGATCATCTTTGGTGGGGGCACCCATGATTCCCGTGTGTACCTATGGAATATATATCGCTTATTTATACATTATAGCCCTAGACACCATCGGAGAGAAAATACTAGTCCTTCGCACGGGGAGCAGCATGTGACTCTGCAGCAGGCACAAGGTAGCTGTCCTGCAAGAAAGTTGGGTTTGATGAATGTTTTGTGGACCCTTCGGTTTATCTAAATGTGATTAAATGGGATCTGCGTGCAGCTTGAAGATGACTTTCCATTCCAGAAATATGACATTGCATAATCGCATTATTTAGAGGATTTTATTGACCCACGGCCATGTGCCAAAAACATATGATAGCCATCCCAATTTACTAGTCCTTCAGTCCTTGGCGTTGGGAAACGGTGATCAATATCCATAGCATCTTCAAGATATTCCTCCTGCAGCTTTGCAAAAGAGAAGTATAGGAACCCGAAACCCCATGTTTTTTTCTTAAACACATCAAAACGGTATGAAACTACTATGCAAATGATCGACAATGGCCTGCTGCCAGAAACACGTTTAATCATGCACCCTATCCATCCCCGTCGGAAAGGATCAATGGCACCTCTGCAGCGCAACATTGCGAGTCTGAAGCCAGAGGCTCAGCGGTCTCGAGGCCATCAGGGTCGCAGTCATCGATCACCACATATTCAGCCTGAAAGTCGAGGGCATGCAGATGAATAGATGTGTATCCCAGGGGTTACCTATCATTTTCATTGTATATTTCATTAATTAAATTCGCTCTCTACATAGTGATCTTCCTTTGAACCAAGAAACTGTGGAAACATGAGGTTCGTCCGGTTCATCATGGGCATTAGATGCGCATTGTCCAGGGTCGCCCACCATGAACAAGTCATCAACCATAGGCAAAGGCCGAAGACGGCGAAATGTTCGGGGTGGGGTCTTATCAACCATGTCTTCATGCACACCTTGTGGGGCTTCAACCATGGTGGTCTCTCCCAGCTCTACATCAACATCTGTTGAAACATCATCCACAGGGTGACGGGCATTTTGGCAGTGGTGACAAACATCCCAATCTTCTTCATATTCCGGTTGCCTATCGGGCATTTCCAACATGTGACAGTAGCAGGCTCCTGTAGGAGAATCCGGGATCACTTCAACTTCAGAGATGTCCATCTGAGTCGGTACAGGGCTGGGTTCACCCGCCAAAGGATTCTGATCCCCCAGGTAAACATGTGCATGTTCATTCCCCCCTGCACCCGGGCAAACTGGCTCGTCTGCTGCTGGTCCCTCCAACATTGGAGGCTCATGCAAGTCCATGTGATCACCATGATCTTGAACATGTATCTCATCGTTGGCTTCACCTTAGGCTAGCTCCCCTGTAACTAGTAAGTAGGTTGTTACCAGGCATGGACATGGAGAGGCACAATGCATGGCACATATATGGTTTATATTTTGTCCTGTTGGGGCCCCAACTAGTAGTCGTCATCTCACCATCAGACACCTCCCAAACCGCTGCGTCCGGATTCTGAGGTGGAGATTTCTTGGCGACCTTCTTGCAGGTGGGCCGGGCTCTGCGCATGTTGGGCTTCATCACCGCTTGCAGCTGGGCAGCCACCTCAATTCAGCAGCTTCAGAAACTAAGGGGTAATATATTATATTTGAAGTGCGGACCATCACCAATAGTACATGAATATGTGCCCTTTACGGATGACATGATTCTATCTATAGCTCTGTATTTCAACTATAGGAAACCACCATGGTAAATCACATTTATTTTCAAGGCACTCCGCTGAGATGTGATCTCTTCAGTGAGCGTCTCCAGTATCGCCGTGAGTAGGAAAGCAAACTGTAGAGGCAGTAACTCTCCTTTGTGGGAATAAACGCTTCCATGGTTCAGCCCAAACAGGGTTCAATGGTTCTAACAGGTGGGAAATGGGTGATTTTTTCATAAACATCATGGGTTGGAAAGCCAAAGATCAAAACCCCAACCCTACACCTGATTAATATTTATCCCAAGGCTCACCATCTGCCCATGTAATTCGGTCCTTGGTGTACCTGGCCTGGCTCAAATTGTTCTTGGCCTCTTCATCCATCTCCAGGAACACCCGGGTCAGAAAGTTCGAGGTATATTCTCCTCATGACAACGGACACCCACCGTATAGAAATGAATTGTTTTTATTCCGCTATTAATTGTTATCAGTGGGCTCTGTGAATCAGGGTTTGGGTTTTGTTAGCGAGGGTTTAGTATATATACTATATTGTGGCTAACTTGGATGAAGGTATAATATCCAATTGCATTTTGGTTTTGGCAATCAAATCCATAATCCATTTATCCATTGTAATTTCTGATGACCACAGGGTGCCAGGAATGATCTTATTGTTTGGTGACAAGATTCCCTCCCGGCTCAACTCAAAGAGTCTCAGGACCAAGGGCAGGTACGCTTCCATGGTAGGCATCCCAACCCTCACCGGGTTGACATCTCTGAACATGGTGTTGTTCGGCGGAGGTGACTGCGCGCAGTGCAAGAAAGCACTGCTTGGCAGTGACAACTTGATGGCGCCTGGGCTGAGGCACATGTGGGAAAACTCATTGATGGACGGTTGTGACAACTTGATGGCACCAGGATTGATCGCTAGTTGAATCTATTGCTTTTGCTCAGAATAAAAAACATATTGTAACTTTCCACAATCAGTGACAAATTGGCCGCTAAGGCGCTCATCACAGCGCCCACACTTGGGCTGCCCATGGCTTCCACACCTATGCCCCCTTATGGGACGTCACACCTACACTCACACCTCCTTGAGCAACAAGGTTTTATAGGATATCATTCATTTCATGGTCATGTGGCATATGATGCGCATTGCAGATTGGAAATGTCAACCCCCCTTCCCTGAGTCGGTCCTCCTTGCTTGCCAGGCATTCCATGGAGCCAAGCACCAAAGAGCTGTAGAGAAAAAAACCATTGCAATGGTCGGAGCGCTGGTGGGATATAGAATGAAAACATATTACAACGGGATAACTGATTCCTGTAACTATAGCCATGGTGAGGCCAGATAATTTCACAATGTTTTATTAATCTGTCAAATAAATTCAAATAATGATTGGTTGTAACAATTATTCATTGGCTGAAGATCTGATCTGGCTAGCCCTGGTCCCTCGGGACCCTCGGTGATTTTTCCTTGAGGTACCTGGACCCTCGCTGGCACAGTAATTGGTACCAAACCCTCGCTCACAGAGCCCAAACCCTCGCTCACAGAGCCCATCGAGAGTTAGGGTAGTAGGAAACAAAGGGCGAATGTTTTTGGTAGATCCCTACTTTCCTGCGGGACCATTGTCAAAAAGATTTCTTGGGTTTGGGATTGGAAGTCATGTTTTTCTGGCGTGCCATCTCCATGAACGCTAAGGGGTGTCTAATAGGCACCCCTTAAGAATCTCAATGTTCAAAACGCTAATAGGTGCCCCTTTGAACGTGCTGCGCATCATTTCTGTAAGTGGAAACAACTACCAACTGTCGGATTTCTGGGAGATACTAAACTAGTTAGATTATAAAACAAACCAACATGGGAGTAGAGCAACAAGAAATTTGAACTTGAGTAAAACATACAGGGTTTGTGGCAAAACGTGGACTTCCACCAACACCAAATTAATAGTATAAACACATATAGACACAATCATGGTATAAACATTATAGAAGTGACACTTTGACCAACCAAAGAAATACAATCAAACATCTCTGGATTGCTGAAAGTTTGGGGCAAGATGTGGTAACCCATACCGGTGTCATCGTGCAAACACATTTATCAATCTTCGGGGATGACAAATCATCAGCCAGGGATGTATTCTTCATCTCCAGCCTCAACGCCAGTCTAGATTGTGTTCAACATAAATTTGAGCGAAAAACATCGCAAAACCCATACACCTTAAGGTAGAAACATGTTTCAAGATGCGGCTTGCTCTAGATGTTTCTTTATACCATCCATCGATTAACAAACTGCCAGTTTACTACTATTTCGTAGGCCCCAATTTGGAAAATCACTCCTAATGATTAGAATATTTTCCCAGCTATATAAAGCTCCATTTAGTTGGGATAGCCAAGGCACTTACAAACTTGGAAATGGGGTACGGCGGCTCTGCTGTGGTGTAGTTCCTGATGGCATATGCTGCCGCTTCATGCGACGGAAAACGGATGTGGTGAGCGGTGCCAAAGAGGCTGCTCGGCTGCTGCCAAGAGAAAATGCAACGATGCGCTTTCACCAATTTTTCAAAGTCATTCCTGCCAATGGACCAGTGGAAAATTTGGAAAACCCTGATATACAGAATGGGGCATTTTTCTGCTGTGAGGTAAACCCAACAATAAACTATTCCAATTTTATCAATATTTTTTGTTAGTTATACATGTATAATTACATATATAAATGTAAAATATACCCCATGAATGGGCGCTTAAATGGTGGGTTACTGGAATGATTTCTTGATACCGGGATGGTTCATTATGGGGATGACTCTCTGATAATTTAATATAGCTCTTGAGGATGGATTGATGATTTACCCTCTGGTAAACATTGGTAAACTCACATAACTATGGAAAATCACCATGTTTGTTTAATGGGAAAACTCACTATAAATGGCACTTTTCAATAGCTATGTTAGTTTACCAGAGGGTACCTAGTGAAACTATGTGAAACTGCTGATTTTCCATAGCAAACTCTCAGTGGGTACCAGAGTTGACTTTGCCGCCGACATGCAAAGCTGACCAAATGGTCACGTACCAGTCGTGCGACTCGATGTTGGAGCCCTAGATCATCCTAGATCCAACAATATCCAACATGTTTTCTAAAGTTGCCACTTAAAAACCAAACAGATTCAGACCATGTTGGCTTTGCCACCTTTCTCGATCGTGGGACTTGCCATTTCATGAGGTTCAAGGCATGGACATGTTTCAGCGAAAACCACAAGCGAATGGGCTATCGGCTGGGGTAGTTCGAATCAAAGAATGCGTTTCTTTTTCTGCACCGGCACCCACCAAATAGCAGTCATAATATCATGATATTCATATATTATATCCATATTCCCAACAGATTCCCTCCAAAAATCATAGAAATCTGTCATGATATGTCCCAAAAAACTTAAGGCAACCACCCCCCGCAATGACCGGCAGAATCCAGCGTTGCCGAGCTTCAAATTGTTGCTTCCAGCAATGGCTAAAGGTATGTTCCACACGATGGCTTTCTGGGCGATCATGGGATCCAACCACCCTGAGAAGGGGCTGAAATAAGGAATGCACTGTGAAGAATTGCTGCGACACGCTGGCGATAACCAGAAGTAGCCTAAGGGCTAAGGGCTGGCGGCAATGACCGGCAGGACCGGACGACTGGAACTAGGTCACCACAAAATCATCAGATCCAAGTTTACAGCAGTTATGGGCAACTCCACCCTGAATGCATCAACAAAATTTGCAATGAATTGTGCCATAGTATACAGCACCCATAGATATTGCGATCCTATCTCACTGTTGACCGAATCCTGGATGCATCGAAATCAATCCAAGTTAGTCTATGTTAGCCAAATGATGAAAAAGTATGAAAAACTACATTGCCCACACAAGGTTTACTCAGCTAATCTTAGGCTCATGTTCCTCATTGTTCATGGTCAATCTTTGATAGCCCGGCAAAAATCTAATCTTTGTCTATGTTGCTGGTGATTTCCAGTTTATAGCTCCCCCAACCAAAAAACTCAAGGACTATAGAAACTCTACCCATTCCAGTCGCTCCAAAAACCCAACTGGCACCTCTAAATCCCAGGCGCCGTCTGGACAGCTGGAGTGAAGTGTGGCGAAATCTCCCCAGGCGGTCAGATTCAAGAAGAAATTGCCACAACTTCCCAGGCGGGAGGTGTTTACCGAGGAAATCTCATCGAAATATCCTGTCATTTTTTGGCTGCTGGATGCTTAAGAAATCCGGAAAAAACAACAGTTGGGAACTATTGGGATTTGTAATGAAACACTGTTTATGGAAGTTGAAGGTGATATAAACCATCAACCAACTAGTGCAGGATTTGTTCCATCCATAGTATACACAGCTAAGCAATCCTTTTTGTTGTATCTAGCATGGGTCTGCCCTCAAGGATTCCTAGTATACCCTTTGTAGCCAGATGTTTTGGTGCATCAGCTGTGGATTCAAACCCAGCCAATCCAAGTCTCTCCAAGGTTGCTGTCGCACATCCAAGCCCTTGTAGAAGTTCAATGGACTGGCCCCCTTTGCTACAGCAGCATCAAAGGCTGCTTCGCTCACAAATTGGCCATCAAAATATTCGTAGCCTCGGGGTCCCGAATTTTGGGCCATCAACGTGACTTTGATGGGTGACTGGGTTTGGTGCTTTGAATGCTTTGCACGGAAGTCTCAAATGAAAGTCATCAAAGGAAGAATCAAATGAACGAGACTTTCCGGAGATCCCAAGAAACATGGTCATGCGCGTTTATCTGAAAATTGGGTGCCTAAAATTGCAGGGATTCCAATGTTCATTGACATGGCAATTTCATGACCAAAAGCTCCTTGCAACGACTCTGGGTGATACAAAGCAAAATCACCTAGTCACGCGCTGACATACAATTTACAATCACTTCAGTTCCACAATCCCAGTAGCTACCAAACATTTCCGCGGGAAATTCAACTGCCAAACGATAGGGTCTTAAACTTAGACTTAAACCCACAAACATGAAGATCGGTACTATTATAGTATTTGGAGCCATCCAAGAGAGTCTAAAATAGGCCCAGCTGCAAACACATTTCAACTGGCGACAGGTTGGGTTTTTAACCACCGAACATCCGGATTTTGTTTCAACACATTTCAACCAACCCTGACTGAGTTTGAATGCCTTTCCTGAACAATTTAGCCAGGAAGGGGCGAAGGCCTTGCTGTAACCAACAACACTTGATTTTCTTCAACCAACTTAAATATGATCCGGTAATTCAACAGTTTGCTGAAACCATTGCCCATTTAGTTCGATCACTTACCCATCACAAATTTCCGATTTTCGATAGTTCTGATAGATTACCAATCCAAATAACCTCCGGGAATCTAACATGGCTTGCTTCGATGACTTTCCGCATTACAACCTCCATTTATCTGGGTAAATTACAATATTTCACTAACCTGAATGTCCACCAATGCAAGTGTAACTGGTCGGGGAGCCACGGTGGTGTTATGTAGAGGAGACCAGGCATCACGGACCTCGGTATATCATGAGTTTGCAGGCGATGAAGCCATTTTTCATATCGTATACCATATCGATGGAAAACATAATGTAACTATATGAACGCAGGGAAAGTAAGGACGCCCACTGAGTAAGATAATGTTCCAAACTTGAAACTTCAGTTTATTTTTTTGCAAGGGAGCCCATAGGGTAAGACCACATATTATGATGTATCATCATAATTGATGATTGATTTTACCCATATTAGTGGATTATGGTCGAATGTGCTTATCCCTTGATTTATGGATATTCCTCGTATAGAATGGATGGTCATCATGGGTTTCCACAATGATACAGCATTTGATCCACTTATGGCCACCTTGTAGTGAGAACCCAAGAACCCACAAAACGATCTCACCCAGTTAGGACACCTAGGACAATAATATAAATGGTCTTTCTCGAAATGGGTACGTTCTTCGAAGTTAAACTCATTTTAGTTATTTTTAAGTATATATCGATCATTTTGAGAAAGACCCATGTATGTTCTATAATTGGATTATTCCAACCATCATCTTCAACAATGTTGGAGAAACAAGCATGTTTTGTTTTGGTGACTTCAGGGGGTCCCAAAGACGTAGGCTGAGTTACAGCTCGTGCAAAGCGAATGGGGTAGACCTGGGATTTTTTCAACTTGGCCAACCCCTTGAAGCGGCGGCGTCCAGCCCGGTCATAGTAATGGCTCACTAGGCCATTCCGCCTGCGATACCTTCGGCGTCGGAGTCTCCTGCGGCAGCCCCAGTCAAAGAACCAGGCCTGGGGTAAAAAAATGAATATGTCACATGTCGATATTTCCCCAATGGTCATTGACGTACACCCATGCAATGGATTCTACAATTGAAAGCAGTCCTTTGCAGCCCATGAATGAAATTGGAATTACTCCAGAGACGAATTGGCTTGGGTGTAGCCGTTCGGGAAGATCCAAATTCACTCAGCCAAGTAAAGCTGTCGAAGATGTTCAGGTGTCCAAAGAGGGTAGCCAGTCGGGGATGCCATGGTAACTCAGCACCAACAAGGTACAAACCACCACAGGTAATTGAGTAATTGAATTCGATCCATCATATTTGATTTTTGTACACAGCTAGCTCGGCAATGTATTAAGATTCCAACCAAAGAAGTCATTGGATTTTCGATCATAAAGAAAGCGCCCTGGTGGATGACGGCATAGATCAACAGCGCGCGCTTAGTTGCAAGTCAAACATGAAATCATTGAGCACTGCTCAACTCAAGTCGTGAACTTTTTCCACCCAAAGGTTAAGGCAATTCAATAGACATAATGAAAACCATAGGTTTCTGACAGGATCTTCCCTAAATAGTGATTGTGTGGCATTGTTTATATGAGCCATGGCTCCCATTGACTCACATTATTGCCCAATGCAAGGTTCTATGGCGTGAACCCCCCGAACAGTTTCAAACCAAGCATCTCTGCTCACCAAGGTGTTGGCAAGTCCAGTGGCCTTCGAATTCCTTGGCCGGGTGGCTCTGGCTTTGACTTCGGAGCAGGTTCAACATGCTACAGGGTCAATCTTGGAGAAGCCAACATCACTTAGTTTGATCCCCTAAATTGACACTCAACGTGTCAACGTGTAAGACATGTGTTGCAATTAAGGGTCGTTCCGAGAGGTTCTTCACGTGACCTACGGCTTGTTCCACCTTAGCAACAGGGGGGAAGATGATACATGGGCCTGGGTAAATTGTTGGTATGGTTGCACAAGAAAGGCTTTCACCTCAAGGACATCTTTCCTTGTTCCACATGGATGTAGCAATGCTTTGGATGAAAACAATTACATATATATATGGGTTTCCTGAAATGAGGGTACCCCAAAATGATTGGTTTAGCTTATGAAAATGGATGATTTGTGGATACCACTATTTTAGGAAATCTCTAAATGGGCGAAGGTGATAGGTTGAAAGTCAATTTATCATAAGCGACAATTCTTATTCGGATTGGCACCATGCAAAAACATTAAACCCAGCTCGATGCAATCAAAGGTACGGTTTATTGTCACCCATGTAGAACAAGGAATGCCAAATGTCACAAGTCCAGTGGCACATACTTGCATGATAGCAAGTAGATGTCGACAAAAGCCTCCAGGACTGAGAATATCCTTGGGCCACAAAGGTGGTTTTCTTTGTTTGTTCTTTCGATCAAACAGACGTACACATAGGATCAAATCAAATAGGTTCAAATTGCGAGTTATATGCAAAACTTGTTTCCATGACTAAGTTAGACAAAGAACATCGGCTTCATCCCGTTCGAAGTCCAATGTGCAAACACCATGCCCATGCTCAGCAAATGCTTTGCTGAGATTGGCTTTCCCAGCAAAAACATCCACCAGTGCGTACTTGCCAGGTGTGTGCACAAATCCCTACAGGGAATACCCGAACAATATCATACCAACCCCAGATTAACAAACCCGATATAAAGATTTTTCAAAACAGTTCAAACCATGATTTATAAAAGATGTTGGTTCCAAAATACACCTAGCTTCAAACTAGATGGCTCGTGACCCCCCGAAATAGATACAAACATGATGGGTCATGAAAACAGTTTGGGGCTTTATTTTCAAGGACAGGAATCTTTAAAGGATGAAAATCCTTGATCGGGTTGATTTAAATTATATAACACCCACTGCCTGAGCAAGGAGGCTCATGACACACCAAAGGCGAAATGGCACTCCTGTCACCTGCACAGGTCCACGAGGGATTCGACGGGGAATGACCACTGGGGCTCGATCTTCATCTTCACCATCCATAAGATGCCTTAGTGATATTGCAATGTTCGGATAACTGGATTTTTATACCTTAGTGATATGGCAATGTTTGGATCATTGGATTTTTAAGCATATAAGATACCTTAGTGATATGGCAATGTTTGGATAACTTGGTTTTTAATTATGATATGGTAATGTTCGGATAGCTGAATTTTCAAAGATGATATGGCAATGTTTGGATAACTGGATTTTTAACCACCCATTAAATACATGGTGATATGGCAATGTTCGGACGATTGAATTTTAAGCATATAAGATACCTTAGTAATATGGCAATGTTTGGATAACTTGATTTTTAATTGTGATATGGCAATGTTCGGATAGCTGAATTTTTAAAGATGATATGGCAATATTTGGATAATTTTAACCACCGATTGATTTTTTTTAGCATATAATAAGATACCTTAGTGATATGGCAATGTTTGGATCATTGGATTTTTAACATGACTCTTGGTTTTCACCAAGTTGCCTCCTCTTTGCCGGTGGCATTGGTAGACTGGAGAACGCCACAACACCACAACGCCGAACCACACACGGCTGAGGCTGGACACAACCACAGCTACAAGTGGACTACATCTTCCAGGCACCGCAGCCACCAACTGATCAGGATTGATGGCAGTAGACTCAAACTAATCCCTTTCCCTATCTATTAAACACCCCCCAAGAAACAATGGTTTTGGTACAGTACAGGCGATTTACAAATTATTTACATATATTTCGGTCCCATATCTACAGGGGGTGTTCAATATTAGGGTGATGGGAACAATGAACAACTAGCTACTCTGCCTTCGTTTTTGGAATCACAGCATGCTCCCAATGCGACTCCTGCCAAGCTCGCCCTTCGCGAGCGCAAGTTTCGATAATTGAAGTAGGCATCGCGACCACAAGTGTCTCACCGGGCCAGCACAAACAGCTACTAGATACTCATGTTTGTCATGACCTACCAAAATGAAAGGATGACTAGTGTTGATTTCTACACGTGGTAGCGGTTTTAAAAAAGCACGAGCCCACAAATGAGACACAATGGTAAGTCCTCAATGCTTGGAATCTAAACTAAACACCGCTGTCCGCACTCTTTGTGCTGCTTCTGGGTGCTGAGCGAAAACTGCCGCAAAGCCCATTGACAGCCCCGTGAATCTTAAAATAGTCAACAGCTGCAGCACCTTGCTTTCGGGCAAGTGCTTTGTCCCCAGGGCACAGTGACAGGGACTTCCGATACGCGCTCGAGTACACGTGGTTGTGCGTGATGTGGGAGGGCGGGATCCTGTCTTTGTTGTCATCAGGCAAGGTTTTTCGAGTCCTAGGTTTCTTGCAGGCTGCCTTGGGCTCCATGACATCATCCGGTGCAGGGAAAGGATCAGCAGGAACGACTGCTGAGTGTCCTGCGGATCCACTTGCAGCTCTGGCCTTGTTGGCCGCTTTGGGTTTGGGTGATGGCTTGGCTTTTGGCTTGGCTGCTGCCTTGGCTCTTACACTTTGCTTTGCAGTCCTGGACCTGGTAGACTTTGCTGCCTTTGTGGCTTTGCTCTTTGGTGCACGATTGGCTCTGCCTTTCGTTTTGGGTGCTGCTTTGGCCTTTGCTTTACGACCCCGTGTCTTACCAGCATGTTCCCCCTGCTTTGAAAACTCTGGCGGATCCATGTCCTTCACCTGATTCTGAAGCTCGGTCATGTAGTCAGGTGCATCAGCTAGAGGATATTTTCCCGGATCCTGCATGCCAGGTATCCAACATCAGTGAAAAAGTGAACCGCGTGATAGATGGTGGGGACGCCAAGCTATTTGGATCGGAAACAGGTGTGAAGGTGATTACAATGGAATAATCAAACCAATCAAATCATCACGACACCCCTGTCAAAAAACGCCTTTGACCTTTGTCTAATGTATAGCCCATTATTTCATAATTCATCCCATGTAGAGTCCTTGAAGTCAGAACTGCAAGGCTCTGGCCCAGCAAGGGGTGGACCAGATCCTTCCTGCCAGGGTCATGGATGTCCATGGAGCTGGATGCTATGCTTTATATATTTCATTCTATTTGGGACTTACTAAATTCAACGATTATTATGTTTTATGTTTACATCTCAGAGGTATAGCAAACATATCACACCATAGCGTTCAGTCCTTGAAGTCAGAGGCGCAAAGCTCTTGTCCCGCCAGGAGTGGAGGATCTGTGTCCTTCGCTAGCATCACAGAGTGTTGCAAACGGTTGATTGTTTTTATACTGATCATGTACTTGACATTCTCCATGGAGTTCTCTTTGTTAGTCACCAAAGTGAACACCAATTATGACAACTGCACATGGTGAGAAAATAAGGCATATCAAACTCTCCAAATGGATCATCTTTGGTGGGGGCACCCATGATTCCCGTGTGTACCTATGGAATATATATCGCTTATTTATACATTATAGCCCTAGACACCATCGGAGAGAAAATACTAGTCCTTCGCACGGGGAGCAGCATGTGACTCTGCAGCAGGCGCAAGGTAGCTGTCCTGCAAGAAAGTTGGGTTTGATGAATGTTTTGTGGACCCTTCGGTTTATCTAAATGTGATTAAATGGGATCTGCGTGCAGCTTGAAGATGACTTTCCATTCCAGAAATATGACATTGCATAATCGCATTATTTAGAGGATTTTATTGACCCACGGCCATGTGCCAAAAACATATGATAGCCATCCCAATTTACTAGTCCTTCAGTCCTTGGCGTTGGGAAAACGGTGATCAATATCCATAGCATCTTCAAGATATTCCTCCTGCAGCTTTGCAAAAGAGAAGTATAGGAACCCGAAACCCCATGTTTTTTTCTTAAACACATCAAAACGGTATGAAACTACTATGCAAATGATCGACAATGGCCTGCTGCCAGAAACACGTTTAATCATGCACCCTATCCATCCCCGTCGGAAAGGATCAATGGCACCTCTGCAGCGCAACATTGCGAGTCTGAAGCCAGAGGCTCAGCGGTCTCGAGGCCATCAGGGTCGCAGTCATCGATCACCACATATTCAGCCTGAAAGTCGAGGGCATGCAGATGAATAGATGTGTATCCCAGGGGTTACCTATCATTTTCATTGTATATTTCATTAATTAAATTCGCTCTCTACATAGTGATCTTCCTTTGAACCAAGAAACTGTGGAAACATGAGGTTCGTCCGGTTCATCATGGGCATTAGATGCGCATTGTCCAGGGTCGCCCACCATGAACAAGTCATCAACCATAGGCAAAGGCCGAAGACGGCGAAATGTTCGGGGTGGGGTCTTATCAACCATGTCTTCATGCACACCTTGTGGGGCTTCAACCATGGTGGTCTCTCCCAGCTCTACATCAACATCTGTTGAAACATCATCCACAGGGTGACGGGCATTTTGGCAGTGGTGACAAACATCCCAATCTTCTTCATATTCCGGTTGCCTATCGGGCATTTCCAACATGTGACAGTAGCAGGCTCCTGTAGGAGAATCCGGGATCACTTCAACTTCAGAGATGTCCATCTGAGTCGGTACAGGGCTGGGTTCACCCGCCAAAGGATTCTGATCCCCCAGGTAAACATGTGCATGTTCATTCCCCCCTGCACCCGGGCAAACTGGCTCGTCTGCTGCTGGTCCCTCCAACATTGGAGGCTCATGCAAGTCCATGTGATCACCATGATCTTGAACATGTATCTCATCGTTGGCTTCACCTTAGGCTAGCTCCCCTGTAACTAGTAAGTAGGTTGTTACCAGGCATGGACATGGAGAGGCACAATGCATGGCACATATATGGTTTATATTTTGTCCTGTTGGGGCCCCAACTAGTAGTCGTCATCTCACCATCAGACACCTCCCAAACCGCTGCGTCCGGATTCTGAGGTGGAGATTTCTTGGCGACCTTCTTGCAGGTGGGCCGGGCTCTGCGCATGTTGGGCTTCATCACCGCTTGCAGCTGGGCAGCCACCTCAATTCAGCAGCTTCAGAAACTAAGGGGTAATATATTATATTTGAAGTGCGGACCATCACCAATAGTACATGAATATGTGCCCTTTACGGATGACATGATTCTATCTATAGCTCTGTATTTCAACTATAGGAAACCACCATGGTAAATCACATTTATTTTCAAGGCACTCCGCTGAGATGTGATCTCTTCAGTGAGCGTCTCCAGTATCGCCGTGAGTAGGAAAGCAAACTGTAGAGGCAGTAACTCTCCTTTGTGGGAATAAACGCTTCCATGGTTCAGCCCAAACAGGGTTCAATGGTTCTAACAGGTGGGAAATGGGTGATTTTTTCATAAACATCATGGGTTGGAAAGCCAAAGATCAAAACCCCAACCCTACACCTGATTAATATTTATCCCAAGGCTCACCATCTGCCCATGTAATTCGGTCCTTGGTGTACCTGGCCTGGCTCAAATTGTTCTTGGCCTCTTCATCCATCTCCAGGAACACCCGGGTCAGAAAGTTCGAGGTATATTCTCCTCATGACAACGGACACCCACCGTATAGAAATGAATTGTTTTTATTCCGCTATTAATTGTTATCAGTGGGCTCTGTGAATCAGGGTTTGGGTTTTGTTAGCGAGGGTTTAGTATATATACTATATTGTGGCTAACTTGGATGAAGGTATAATATCCAATTGCATTTTGGTTTTGGCAATCAAATCCATAATCCATTTATCCATTGTAATTTCTGATGACCACAGGGTGCCAGGAATGATCTTATTGTTTGGTGACAAGATTCCCTCCGGGCTCAACTCAAAGAGTCTCAGGACCAAGGGCAGGTACGCTTCCATGGTAGGCATCCCAACCCTCACCGGGTTGACATCTCTGAACATGGTGTTGTTCGGCGGAGGTGACTGCGCGCAGTGCAAGAAAGCACTGCTTGGCAGTGACAACTTGATGGCGCCTGGGCTGAGGCACATGTGGGAAAACTCATTGATGGACGGTTGTGACAACTTGATGGCACCAGGATTGATCGCTAGTTGAATCTATTGCTTTTGCTCAGAATAAAAAACATATTGTAACTTTCCACAATCAGTGACAAATTGGCCGCTAAGGCGCTCATCACAGCGCCCACACTTGGGCTACCCATGGCTTCCACACCTATGCCCCCTTATGGGACGTCACACCTACACTCACACCTCCTTGAGCAACAAGGTTTTATAGGATATCATTCATTTCATGGTCATGTGGCATATGATGCGCATTGCAGATTGGAAATGTCAACCCCCCTTCCCTGAGTCGGTCCTCCTTGCTTGCCAGGCATTCCATGGAGCCAAGCACCAAAGAGCTGTAGAGAAAAAAACCATTGCAATGGTCGGAGCGCTGGTGGGATATAGAATGAAAACATATTACAACGGGATAACTGATTCCTGTAACTATAGCCATGGTGAGGCCAGATAATTTCACAATGTTTTATTAATCTGTCAAATAAATTCAAATAATGATTGGTTGTAACAATTATTCATTGGCTGAAGATCTGATCTGGCTAGCCCTGGTCCCTCGGGACCCTCGGTGATTTTTCCTTGAGGTACCTGGACCCTCGCTGGCACAGTAATTGGTACCAAACCCTCGCTCACAGAGCCCAAACCCTCGCTCACAGAGCCCATCGAGAGTTAGGGTAGTAGGAAACAAAGGGCGAATGTTTTTGGTAGATCCCTACTTTCCTGCGGGACCATTGTCAAAAAGATTTCTTGGGTTTGGGATTGGAAGTCATGTTTTTCTGGCGTGCCATCTCCATGAACGCTAAGGGGTGTCTAATAGGCACCCCTTAAGAATCTCAATGTTCAAAACGCTAATAGGTGCCCCTTTGAACGTGCTGCGCATCATTTCTGTAAGTGGAAACAACTACCAACTGTCGGATTTCTGGGAGATACTAAACTAGTTAGATTATAAAACAAACCAACATGGGAGTAGAGCAACAAGAAATTTGAACTTGAGTAAAACATACAGGGTTTGTGGCAAAACGTGGACTTCCACCAACACCAAATTAATAGTATAAACACATATAGACACAATCATGGTATAAACATTATAGAAGTGACACTTTGACCAACCAAAGAAATACAATCAAACATCTCTGGATTGCTGAAAGTTTGGGGCAAGATGTGGTAACCCATACCGGTGTCATCGTGCAAACACATTTATCAATCTTCGGGGATGACAAATCATCAGCCAGGGATGTATTCTTCATCTCCAGCCTCAACGCCAGTCTAGATTGTGTTCAACATAAATTTGAGCGAAAAACATCGCAAAACCCATACACCTTAAGGTAGAAACATGTTTCAAGATGCGGCTTGCTCTAGATGTTTCTTTATACCATCCATCGATTAACAAACTGCCAGTTTACTACTATTTCGTAGGCCCCAATTTGGAAAATCACTCCTAATGATTAGAATATTTTCCCAGCTATATAAAGCTCCATTTAGTTGGGATAGCCAAGGCACTTACAAACTTGGAAATGGGGTACGGCGGCTCTGCTGTGGTGTAGTTCCTGATGGCATATGCTGCCGCTTCATGCGACGGAAAACGGATGTGGTGAGCGGTGCCAAAGAGGCTGCTCGGCTGCTGCCAAGAGAAAATGCAACGATGCGCTTTCACCAATTTTTCAAAGTCATTCCTGCCAATGGACCAGTGGAAAATTTGGAAAACCCTGATATACAGAATGGGGCATTTTTCTGCTGTGAGGTAAACCCAACAATAAACTATTCCAATTTTATCAATATTCTTTGTTAGTTATACATGTATAATTACATATATAAATGTAAAATATACCCCATGAATGGGCGCTTAAATGGTGGGTTACTGGAATGATTTCTTGATACCGGGATGGTTCATTATGGGGATGACTCTCTGATAATTTAATATAGCTCTTGAGGATGGATTGATGATTTACCCTCTGGTAAACATTGGTAAACTCACATAACTATGGAAAATCACCATGTTTGTTTAATGGGAAAACTCACTATAAATGGCACTTTTCAATAGCTATGTTAGTTTACCAGAGGGTACCTAGTGAAACTATGTGAAACTGCTGATTTTCCATAGCAAACTCTCAGTGGGTACCAGAGTTGACTTTGCCGCCGACATGCAAAGCTGACCAAATGGTCACGTACCAGTCGTGCGACTCGATGTTGGAGCCCTAGATCATCCTAGATCCAACAATATCCAACATGTTTTCTAAAGTTGCCACTTAAAAACCAAACAGATTCAGACCATGTTGGCTTTGCCACCTTTCTCGATCGTGGGACTTGCCATTTCATGAGGTTCAAGGCATGGACATGTTTCAGCGAAAACCACAAGCGAATGGGCTATCGGCTGGGGTAGTTCGAATCAAAGAATGCGTTTCTTTTTCTGCACCGGCACCCACCAAATAGCAGTCATAATATCATGATATTCATATATTATATCCATATTCCCAACAGATTCCCTCCAAAAATCATAGAAATCTGTCATGATATGTCCCAAAAAACTTAAGGCAACCACCCCCCGCAATGACCGGCAGAATCCAGCGTTGCCGAGCTTCAAATTGTTGCTTCCAGCAATGGCTAAAGGTATGTTCCACACGATGGCTTTCTGGGCGATCATGGGATCCAACCACCCTGAGAAGGGGCTGAAATAAGGAATGCACTGTGAAGAATTGCTGCGACACGCTGGCGATAACCAGAAGTAGCCTAAGGGCTAAGGGCTGGCGGCAATGACCGGCAGGACCGGACGACTGGAACTAGGTCACCACAAAATCATCAGATCCAAGTTTACAGCAGTTATGGGCAACTCCACCCTGAATGCATCAACAAAATTTGCAATGAATTGTGCCATAGTATACAGCACCCATAGATATTGCGATCCTATCTCACTGTTGACCGAATCCTGGATGCATCGAAATCAATCCAAGTTAGTCTATGTTAGCCAAATGATGAAAAAGTATGAAAAACTACATTGCCCACACAAGGTTTACTCAGCTAATCTTAGGCTCATGTTCCTCATTGTTCATGGTCAATCTTTGATAGCCCGGCAAAAATCTAATCTTTGTCTATGTTGCTGGTGATTTCCAGTTTATAGCTCCCCCAACCAAAAAACTCAAGGACTATAGAAACTCTACCCATTCCAGTCGCTCCAAAAACCCAACTGGCACCTCTAAATCCCAGGCGCCGTCTGGACAGCTGGAGTGAAGTGTGGCGAAATCTCCCCAGGCGGTCAGATTCAAGAAGAAATTGCCACAACTTCCCAGGCGGGAGGTGTTTACCGAGGAAATCTCATCGAAATATCCTGTCATTTTTTGGCTGCTGGATGCTTAAGAAATCCGGAAAAAACAACAGTTGGGAACTATTGGGATTTGTAATGAAACACTGTTTATGGAAGTTGAAGGTGATATAAACCATCAACCAACTAGTGCAGGATTTGTTCCATCCATAGTATACACAGCTAAGCAATCCTTTTTGTTGTATCTAGCATGGGTCTGCCCTCAAGGATTCCTAGTATACCCTTTGTAGCCAGATGTTTTGGTGCATCAGCTGTGGATTCAAACCCAGCCAATCCAAGTCTCTCCAAGGTTGCTGTCGCACATCCAAGCCCTTGTAGAAGTTCAATGGACTGGCCCCCTTTGCTACAGCAGCATCAAAGGCTGCTTCGCTCACAAATTGGCCATCAAAATATTCGTAGCCTCGGGGTCCCGAATTTTGGGCCATCAACGTGACTTTGATGGGTGACTGGGTTTGGTGCTTTGAATGCTTTGCACGGAAGTCTCAAATGAAAGTCATCAAAGGAAGAATCAAATGAACGAGACTTTCCGGAGATCCCAAGAAACATGGTCATGCGCGTTTATCTGAAAATTGGGTGCCTAAAATTGCAGGGATTCCAATGTTCATTGACATGGCAATTTCATGACCAAAAGCTCCTTGCAACGACTCTGGGTGATACAAAGCAAAATCACCTAGTCACGCGCTGACATACAATTTACAATCACTTCAGTTCCACAATCCCAGTAGCTACCAAACATTTCCGCGGGAAATTCAACTGCCAAACGATAGGGTCTTAAACTTAGACTTAAACCCACAAACATGAAGATCGGTACTATTAGTATTTGGAGCCATCCAAGAGAGTCTAAAATAGGCCCAGCTGCAAACACATTTCAACTGGCGACAGGTTGGGTTTTTAACCACCGAACATCCGGATTTTGTTTCAACACATTTCAACCAACCCTGACTGAGTTTGAATGCCTTTCCTGAACAATTTAGCCAGGAAGGGGCGAAGGCCTTGCTGTAACCAACAACACTTGATTTTCTTCAACCAACTTAAATATGATCCGGTAATTCAACAGTTTGCTGAAACCATTGCCCATTTAGTTCGATCACTTACCCATCACAAATTTCCGATTTTCGATAGTTCTGATAGATTACCAATCCAAATAACCTCCGGGAATCTAACATGGCTTGCTTCGATGACTTTCCGCATTACAACCTCCATTTATCTGGGTAAATTACAATATTTCACTAACCTGAATAGTTCGGCCATGTGGGGATGATTTCCCTCAAATAAACCATGATTCCAGGGCTCGGTCGCAGTGAGGTCGTTATAATTTACCCAGATTAATGGTATATGAATATGAATGGGATATTATCTCCATTCATGGTTATATTAAGATCAATGGGATATATACATATATATATATATACTTCTATAATTTACCCAGATTTATGTTCCCATATCCCCTGAAAATCGCCATCTTGATCCGGGATTTCTATGGATTCCCCTGGACCCATCGGTGGCTTTCTCGGCTAAGCCATGCCCAGCAACCCATGGATCCCAATCGCACCGGAGCCCCTGGCAGCACCTGACTCTTCGCCCACTCAGCTGGATCCATATAGGCGTCGACTAGGACCTGGACCCGGTGGATTTTCATGTGGGAAACCCGAAACCCTCCAGGAAACTGACAGTTTGCTATGGAAAATTGCCATTCATTGTTGATTTACCTTCTAAATATGGTGACTTTCCATAGCTATGTTAGATTACCAGAGGGTACCATGAGAGGGAATGGTTGGAATCCCACCCATTCAAAATGGTGACTTTGGGGGTAATTTCTGACATTGGGGGCTTCCACATGCATCATCCTGTTTGGCGGGTCCATGTGAATTTGCGGGGTGTAGGTCCCAAGAGCACTATGAAAAAATGCATACCTGGTTGGTGGTTTCAACCCCCCTGAAAAATATATTAGTCAGTTGTAATTATTATTCCCAATATATGGAAAAATAATCCAAATGTTCCAAACCACCAACCAGATTAGTATCAATCCCTTGCAACACTTCACAAAGCAACACTAAGAAAAACATTGCGTACTAGATGTTTATGATATGTTCAAACAACAATGGAAATCAATCCAGAAAACTAACATTGGATGTTGTGATAAACTATGCCAAGTACCTAAATACAAAGGATCCCACCGGAAGTAGTTCCTAGTGAGGGTCTTTCCGGAATCCGTATATTTGATGTACTTGGATAGTTAGGGTAATAACAATCAAATAATCAGCAAAAATGGGCCCACAAAGAATCGCATAACAATGGCAATATTATGCAATATCCTATGTCGGGAAAACATATTCCAGACTTCATCAGATGGTTCCATATGTTCCATGTTACATTGGATACCCTCTGGTAAACATACAAACAACTATGGAAAGATCCACCATTTTTAATGGATAAATCAACTATTTCTATGGCCATGTTCAATAGCTATGTTACTTATATGTTAGTCATTTCCAGAGTATACATGGATGGCACCGCAAACAGCTCCGAACCGCTTCTTTCACGCTCCCCCCCAAAACAATGGATATCGTATTCCTTCTTCCATAATCAACCATATTCCAGTATCTATATTCCAGTATCCCATTATGCTTGGTGATCAATGGTTATCCAAATATTGCTTGGTATATCACATATATCACCCCTTAGACCCTTAGATCACATGTTCGACCACCGCTTCAGCCACTTACAAACTGCTCGAGTCACATGGGTGTCGGTGTAGTCCCTTTCCCCACAGCTCGGGCTGTCAGCATCAAAGGGATTCGTGCAACCGAGCAAGCGATACAGGCCTTCCACCTCCCAAGTTCCTGTCAGCCCAGCTTGCTGGTTCCAGCACACTGGCTCGGAATCTTCATGCCCTCTGGAAAAAACGCATATCGCGACCCCTGAAAATAACCAATGTTTAGTGGAAACATGTGGAAACTAGTCTTCCAACCCCTATCTGGCAGAGGGCCTATGTGAATTTACTGGAGGGTAATGTTACAATTATTTGTGAGGTTTGGAGAAATATCAGTTTTTCCGACACATTTTTTGTCCAGTGAATGAAGATACTTACAACCCCAGTTACAAGTATGGGTGTATCTGCCTTAGTCCGGTTATAATCTGGTTGGTGGTTTCAACCCCTCTGAAAAATATTAGTCAGTTGGGATTATTATTCCCAATATATGGAAAATAATCCAAATGTTCCAAACCACCAACCAAACAAGTATGGGGTGTATCTGCCTTAGCCCAGTGATAACTAACTTTGTTTGTCAATGCACTTACTGATCTTACTGGGGTTGTGAAAAATTGGGATGATCCCTCAGTTTTCATCAATGGGAAAGGGATATTTGTCAAATCAAGGGCCAACAGAAAATCCCCCAACGAAATGGAGTATTTTCCAGCCATGGCCATGTTTACCCGAGGGTAAATCATGGTAAATCCATTAACCACCAGGAATCAACACTATATTAACCACTATGATCATGACTTTTGACCACTATTAACCCTTATACTAAGCCACTATTTTTTAAAACCACGATAGTCTAATCACTGTTTTAAGTTATGAACCAACAAACCCGACTAAAAGCCAACTTCATCCGACGTCGCATCCATCTCCGAATCGTCGTCCTGTTCCAGTCTCCCGTGTGTTGTACCCCAGGAGCTCTTCCATCAGCAACTGCACCACTGCGGTGGCTGCATAGGAGGTCTGGCCATAGTTATCGAAGCTCGTTTTCCAGAGGCCCACCTGGACGGAAACCGCCGTTTTAAAAACACATAGGGTGGGCCAAATTCATGGTGAGCATGTTAGTGAAATCCAATCAAAAGCATGATTTCACATGGGTTTAATCAAGAAAACGTTGATTTATACAGTTGATTTATGTTAGAACGCGTGGTTTACAACTATGCTAACGATTGATACATGGCGGATGCATCTAGAATTAATAAGGTTTATGAATCAACAAACATCACTAAACTTCCAGGGGTCAGTTGTTGCTATCTGTTTGGGGGTTGCCATATACAATGATGATCAGTGATGAGCCAAATGCTCTGGTCGGTTTCATTCATGGCTACATTTTGGCGGCAGATCATCATTAAATTAATGATATTAATTACTTACTCAAGGTATCCTCCCGTAATCAGCTTGCCAACTAGAAATCCCCAATCTTTGACGATTTCTTTATTGTATTAACCCCAAAAAGATTCGATCCCAATTGGGCATTCACAGACCCCATACTTTTGGACAAAGAAACCCATTGGGGGCAGTAGCCTGCCGTATACTAACCGGCTGAAGTCACCATAAACTACCATCACGACACATAACTGACTACTCACCATCATTTCCTGGTGAAGTCACCACAATCTTCCCAGATCGGTCTCTCTCTCTCTCTATCTCTCTCTCTCTCTGGAATTTCCAAGGATTAAGACCCCCATGAGCTTCTCGCTTCCCATATCAACCCCATAAGAACGCCATGGGAAGTCGGAAGCTTCGGGTGGTCCCGCCCTGGAGGGCCCGACAAACGCCATGAAATTTACAGAAATCATGTACACAGCCTATATAAGTTTATATAAGGCATACTGTGCGAAGATTCCATGGCCAAAACATGGTGCAAGGAAAAAACACATTAAAAACTATACTCATTAAAATCATTGAACCTTTGATGTCATAATCTTCCCACATTTCGCGACGATGACTGCATCTTAAGTTTAATTGCCTTACTCCATGGTGTATGTTGTGATTGAATTCACATGCTTGGTGATTAGATAAATCCGCCATCCTTCTTCGGGGTCAAAACTTACCATTTTGGTGAAAAATGGACATCTTTTTGGTAAAAATAGGTTTGGGCCGGGGGCTGGTTAATCCCATCTATCATCAGAAACCTGTTGTTAAAGGGGTTTGTTCAAACCCCTCTATTTTCATCAACCAACCAATGGGAATTTGGGACATCTATGATGCCATCTATTTGATACAGTAAAACAAAGGTACCAGTGTTGGTTTTATTTACCATGCACGAAAGTCATGTTTCTTTTAGCTGGTTAGCATGTGTACATATGTATATACAATTTACTATTATATACTATGCGCATCTGTCTGCAGAGACAAACAAAACTGAATTCAGCCACCTTACTCATAGAAATTGATAGTTAAATCATGTCAAATTCTGGTTCTTTGATGGTTCAATTCCCCAATCTGCAATTTTTGATGGTTGAATCCTCAGTTTTGTTGGTTAAACCGTCCAATTCTGAAAAGAAATGCGTAAATCCTACATAAATCCCAGTTTCCCATAGCTTTTCAAAACACTATCAGCTTTCACCGAGCCACTGGGTAGGACTCCCCATCGGCATTCACCAGGTTCCTCCTCTTCGAGGCACCGATGCCGTTGGGCAAACACGTCGCCTCCGGCGTCGCCTCCGGCGTCGTCTCCGTCCGGGGCCAAGGGACCGTGGGAACCGTCGCGGCGCCAAAGATGGGCAGCAGGGACAGCAAGCGCGGCATCGGGGACGACTGATTGGCCGGGAATGCCGTTTGGGTCAACCGTGAAAATCTGTGACGTGATGTGATCCCAATTGCTGAGAACATGATGTTGAGACCGCTTCAAGCCTGACTGTCAACGGTTCCTCCATCTAGCTTCGAGTGGTATCAAGATTCAATACCAAAATGTTCTACTTCCAAGACTGATTGCTGCTTTGCAGTGTGTCACTTGTGAACCTTAATCAACCCTGAAATGTCCTTGCATATCTTCGACGTGTTGTGTTGAAAATATAGCTGTGAGCCATTACCATCGCTTGACTGATTAACCCCCAATTGGCCACAATTGGCTATATTTGAAGGGCAAATTAGCGTACACACCCACATCATCCCAAATTTAGGGCTTGGATGGCAAATGTTGGGGTGCAATTAAACAACACATGTAACATAATCACACCCGCTTGTTTCCACGCAAACCAAAGCAGGGTTTGGACAAGCGAAGCAGCAAACTGGTGGATGAGGACTGGCTTGGGAAGCTAGCAGCTGTTCCCCCCAAAAAAGATACCAATTCTCTCCAGTATTCCAACCAGATCATGGCAAATTCACCATTGGTTTATCCGTTCTTGTCTGACTATTCTGACTTCACAAACGGCAAGTTGCAAAATGATGTGTCATTTAATCAGCTTTAGTACCCTCTGGTTATGACTAACATAGCTATGGAAAATCACCATTTTGAATAGGTAAACCATCTATTTCTATGGGCCATCTCAAAAACATAGCTATGTCTGACATCACCATTACCGGGTAAGTCATGGTAGCCCTCCATGGTTTTCCACAATATGCCCGTTTTAAACATCTAAATCAACCAGCCAACCATTGGATCCCCCATTGGATCCCGCATGAAGCCCAACTGCAGCCAGGAACTCCCAGGAACTTCAGCACATACTCGAAACTTTTGGCTTTCAACAGCGGAGGATCTTCCGGGATCCTCGGCGATTCTCGACAGGTTTTTCAACCCTTTCTTCAGCATGATTTTCCAACGGTATCATAAGGCCTGGTAAAGATACAAAAAGCTATTGAAAATGGCTTTTGATAGTGGATTTACCCATGAAAAATGGTGGATCTTTCCATAGTCATGTGACAGTTTACCAGAGGGTACAGAATTACAACACTTGCTGGTTGGTGGTTGGCCAACCCCTCTGAAAAATGAATAAACAAATGATGGAGTTTGTCAGTTGGGATGGTTATATATTCCCAATAATATGATGGCAAAAAAACATGTTCCACGCCACCAATCAGCTTGGTACATGTTGGTATGGAATAATATTCTATACCCAGCCCCATGTATGGAATATTTACCTACATGTAGCCCAATAACCATCAATAAACCACTGAACCCCCATTAACCAATCAACAATGCGATCTTTAATGTCGAATGTCGATGACTCACCAAGGAAACAGCTTCATGTTCTGTCTACCCCAGTTGTAGCATTCTATGCAAACATATGCCAGCATATACCAAACAAACTGAATTTCTGCAAACTGAATCTCTGCAAACTTTCACAAGCTTACAGCCTCCCGCATGCCTATTATTACAGTGTTACAGGTGTTTGTCGAGGTGTACAGTCGCTCTTGCCATAAATGTTCATCGGAAGTATCGGAACAACCTGTCAAACTTCTTCAGATTTGTGGTTTCAACACTTTTTCATCCCCAATATTTTTGAAATTGCTCGTCAGTATTGTTATCCCCAACATTTTTTGGTACACATTGACATGTGTTTTTTTAACCAGCTATAGATATGGAGGTGTTCCTAAAGTAGGGTACCGCCGAATTATGCATTTTAATAAGATTTACCATTAAACCATCCATTTAGGGGAACCCCCCATTTGTGGAACCCCCAATATTGAATTGATGACACCTTCCACGATTTGGGTAGCGCTCAAGTGCGGCAAGGTGCGCGGTCTCATAGCCCTGCTCACAAAACCATCTGAACGCTTCATCAGTGGTAGTGAAGGACATTTTCCTGGCAACGAAACAACGAAGATGGGCGAAATCTGTGAAACTCTGTTGTGTCAACTTCCCCCCTATCTCCTTACCTACTGGTATATATATATAACTATATATATAACTATATATATATAGGGATTATATAGGGATTAAATAGGGTACGTGTATAAATCTCTGTCTACCTACCTATGTACCTCATTTATCAATACCAATTTCTATCTATCTATCCATCTATCTATCTATCGATCGATCTATCCATCCATCCATCTATTTTATCTACATATCTATTCAATTCTATTTGACTGTATATAACACATCTCAACATTCTCCCTTGGACCACCGAATGCCACCCCTTACCACCCATTAGATCCCGTTGAAGAATACTCTGAGAATTTGGATTTCCTGCTCAAACTCTCAAGCTTTCATCACTTTGATCCTAATCCTGGTATCACTGACCCAAATAAGCAAGTCATTCGCCGGTGAAGAAGTTTCAATAGGAACGGAACGTAACGGAAACCCGGCGTTTCGAATGAGGTTTGCCCAAGGCTGCAGCATCCTGGACCTTTCTTCCAGCTCTCCCAGAATTGCAAAACAACTGCCAATCTGGTTGGTGGTTTACCTACCCCTCTGAAAAATATGAAAGTCGGATGATTATTCCATTCCCAATATATGGAAAGTCATAAAACCAATGTTCCAAACCACCGTCCCCAGCAATTCTTATTCTTATCACTTCACAAAGGTTTTGTCACAAAGGTGCTTTCACGGTTTGTCCATAGGGATGATCATGGATGATGAATGAAACGTTCACATTTTCGGAGAATGGTCATACCAACCCATTGAACCACACATTCAGCAACCAGTCCATTGGCTCTATCTCTATCCTCATCTCATCCCCAGTTCATGCTGGTGAAATCAATAAAAAGGCTTCTTCCTAAATTCACCCATTGCTTCATTCAACTTCCCATGACCAGTTGGTTTACCCTCCATTCTGGATGCTGAACCCACTAACCTATACATACCCAAATATGTTGTAGCTTAAACACGCCCATGATTGATAGTGAAATCATCTTAAATCAAGTTAAGTCATGTTAAATCACGATAGTTCATGCTGAAGTCCCTATCTTTTGCGCTTCCACCCCACCCCCGTGTGGCTATTCCTCAGGAGCTTTTCTGCCACACTTTGCCACGTAGTGGAGGGCCTTTTTGGGTGCCAAGTTGGAGGTCTGGCCATGTGATGTCATCATGTGTCATCTACCTACATCAAAACCAAACCTGCAAACCCCAAATCTGTGATTGAAAAATCTAAGATAATCATGTTATCATATCTTATCGGATTATAAAATGTTGAAAAACTGCCCATTTGTTTCGCAACTTCCATGTTTTTGTCCAGACTGATTCGGGTAAACTTAGATAATTCATATGCAAATTGCCTGAAAGAATGCCATTTAAACATGATTTCCCTAAGCATCATTCCAGTGACGGCACATTGAGGTCATCTTTATCAATCCAGATTTCGAAGAGGGGCTTACCTTTGATGGGGAAGCACCCCTCATCCAAGTCATGGATGACCATGACTTAGTATTGAACACCATGACTTGGGGTATATACTCCAATGTCAAGAAACACCATAGATATATATACACACACATAGGTACACACATACACGTAAATATATATATATGATATATGTGTGTGTATTTAACGTATGAATATATATATATATATATATGTGTGTGTGTATATGTATGTATGAATATAAATAATATACATACATACATACATGCATGCTATAATTGTATGGATAATTGTATAATTGTATGCGTGAAATTGTAGAACGATATATGCATATGTATGTATCCTTCAATGCCAATTTCCTCTCACTAAATCAACATTAAATCAGAGTATCGGATTTATTTTGGAGTGTCTCACGCCATGAACTTCCCATAGTCAGCCGAGCAGCTCTAATTTAAAGACGCGAACCATGGACTGCACTAAGGTGGTGAAAGCCTGAAAGATGTCGCCATCGCAATGGCTGGATAATATCCAAAATTCAGCATAGGAATGGACATATATGATATATATATATATGGATAAATATGGATAAATGATCATCATTCACAAACTTGAATTAAGGCATTTGGGGATAGTTAGATGCTGATTTCCATGTTGTATCATCGATGGGGCGCGGTTGAAACGTGGTCGGTCTGAAAGGGATCTGATCCCGGTCCTACAGCGTGAATCAAAACTGCATGACCATCTGGTTTGGGTACTTCAAAAACAAATGGGGCACACGTTTCTAAATCTCTTGGTTTATTCTCAGCTCCCTCTCAAATTGGTGATGTTGGGGATTTCTCGTTACAAACCATAGGAAGTTGTGAGGCCTGATGCGCCCAAACTGCCGTTTCCATCTTTGGGCATGCCAAGCTTTGAGGAGACTTTACTACTATTCGTTGAAGGTTTAGAGCAAAAATGGACAATTTAGCGGTATGGAAGCCCCAAGGTTCGCTACGGACAATGATCAACAAATGGTTGCCGATATCAATGTGAATCTACGTGAATTTATCCTCTGGTAAATTAACGTAACTATGGAAAATCACATTTTTTTAATGGGAAAAGTCACTATAAATGGCCATGTTCAAAAGCTATGTTTGTTTACCAGAGGGTATGTGAATTTACTGGGGGCTTCCCTCCTAATCATCAGTCGCGATGTCGTGGCGACACGGTTCCAATCTGCCCAGGACATATAAGATTGCAACGCCTTATCTATATCAATATCTATATCTATATTTATATCTATATCTATATCATTCTAGGTCTATAGCTATACCTACATATTATATCATATTAGCTATATCTAGCCTTATCTATATCTATATCTAGATCATTCTAGATCTATATATTATGTACGTACGGCGGTTCTCTCCTGGTGAACGACACGGTATGGTCATGGTCATCCCATCATGGAATCCCCGAAGAACGTCTTGGGGTGGCTTTTCAACCCATTCCGAACAGAGATGGGCTGAATTATCCCTGATTAATGGTGATTAA